TGCCTTCTTTTTAACGACATAAATAATAATTTATTGGTAACATAATTTGTTTCGAAGTCTTCTTATATACATTTTGTATACAGTATATTGCTAAATATTCTGAAGAGATTTACTTCTTTAATTTCTGTATTTGAGGAGCACTTATTTTAACTTTTCCAGGAATATTTCTAGCTATTGTTTCTTCCTTAACGGCTTTCAGTAAATCTTTTTCTCGCGATGTAATTTCTCTATCTTTCGAAAATACAGTCACTGCAGTTTTTGCAGCTTTTCCTCTCTTCCCTGTGCCTGGTGTTAATTTTACTTTGAATCTGAAAAGAAATGCATATGTCAAATACAATGAATTAAGATTATAATACAGGTTTCAATGAAAATTAATATTCAATTTACTTGTAATTCAATAAAGTATTATAAGGTGCCACAACTGGTACAGCAAACAGCAACTCGTCTTCAAAGACAGGTTTTCCTGTTAGCTGATCCAACATATCAACTTCCGGTCCTGGACCTGTGTCTTCTTCGTCATTGTCCATAATTTGAAGATTCTGCGGTGGAGGTGGTCTTGCCATACCTTTTTTCTTTCCCTGCTGTTTTGGTCCAGAAGGGTCTTTATTTTTACTTCTTCTTTTGTCTTCTTTTGCTACACCTGCTGACTAAATAAATATACATACATAATTACTATTATATATTTTTTTGAAATATCAAAAATATTCTAGTTAGAACAACACTTGCTTGAAGGACTTGCATAGATAATCTTCTGTCTTCCTCATCTTGGTCTTTATATTTTTCTTTCATTTTTTTCAGTCTTCCTTTCTGACCCCTTTTTAGTGTTACCTGATCATTCTTTTCAGTTTCCATTTCAGGCTTTTTATTTTCATGTTGTGGAAGTTGTCTTTGTTTATCTTTGTCAGAACTTTTTTTCTTATTAACAGTATTTATTAGTATTGGTTTATTATCCCCTAAATAAATTACGTTTTCATCACTGTTCTCTGATGTTCTTGTTTCGTTTTTGTCAATATGCAACCTCATTCTACCACACAAAAAACAACCATTACGTATTTAATTGTTAAATAAAGGAGGTACGAATCTGTATTTTGTACAACTTACTTAGAACCGGATATATCAATTTTAATTTGTGTATCTGGAAACTGTGACGTGTTTTCATCTTCATCGCTAGCATTCTGATTGATATTAGTTTTTTCTGCCTCTAAATCCTCCTTGGATTCTTCCTGAATAGGATTTAAATCATTCTTTTCCTCAGCTTGCTCTTCTATTTAATTTAAAAAATTAGATGAAGTTTCTATCGAGTTAAATATTGCTATAATTAAAAATTTAACCTTCGTCAGAATCCCCTATTAACTCTATCTCTTTATCTTCTTCGATTGTAGATTCTGCATGATCACTTTCATCATCTATAATCCTGACCCTTCTTTCATCCTTATGCCTTTCCATTGAACTTTCTTCCAAACGAAATAGAAATCCTAATCCCATGATTAACTGACACGGTGGCAAGTAATTCTTTTTCCCACGAATCATAAATGATCCAGTTGTAAGATATTCACCAGTCGGGGCAGTTTTTGAAACCTGGTCATTGTTTACCCACCAAGCTCCAGCCACTACTTTAGCCTCCCATGCAATACTAATGATATAAGCGTGTTTATAGTAAAATATTTGTAGTGAAAGGTAATTATTAATAGATTGTACACATTTTTATTTACCTGTAAGCCACAGCCATTGTACCTGCTTCAGCCAAAGTTTTGGGAGGCACAGGATTCCCACCAGGATTTTTAATAACTACTGAACTGGCACCAGTTAAATCAGCATGAACATATATATCTCCAGATTTAAGATATCTTTTTACTATTAGTTCATTCTGCTGTTGATCTCTTCCACCAATTACTATAAAACAATAAAATTGTGAATTGACTATTATTTTCGAGATATATATAATCACATGAACCTACCTAAATAATTTTCAGAGCTAATGAACCAATAAAATTTTTCGAACCAATATACTTTTCTCAATTTATTGATACTGTGAATGGCTTGAACCTCTTTTAATGTTTGCTTTGTCTTTTTTTCTGCAGATTTCAAAGCCTTATCCTGTGATTCTATTGTTTTTTGTTGTTTCTTAGCCGCGGATCTCTTCTGATTATAATACTTTCTGGCATTTGCGAAAGCACTATGAGCTAAATCAATATCAATTAACATAGGTTTTAATTCCGATTCTTCGTCACTGTCTTCATAGGGATCGTGTAACAGTAATGAAATATGATTTGTCTCTAGTTTTAATTGTTTTATCGCAGATGCAACGGGATCTCCTCTGTTTTCTGCTTCTTTCAATAGAACTTTAATATCTGGCCAAGCCATTTGATTTGCAAGAGCACTTTGTATAGCTAATATGGCATTGTCCACTAAAGTTTGATTTCTAGAAATCAATTCTGCCTTTTGCTTATCTACCTCTTGAGTCTTTTCTAACGAGATAAGTCTCTGATCGTGATCTTTTCTAACATTTTCTAATTTCTTAAGAGCATCGCGTTCTTGCTGCAAAGCTTTCAAATCTAATTTTTGACCTTCCATTGCAGAAAAGTATTCATCTACCGCAACATCAAAAGAGGGATACTCTTTATAACAAGAATCTTTATATTGTTCAAATAAAATTGGATGAAATTCAATATTAGTATATATAAAATCTTGTGTGCCATCTGTAGTTGGTTTCGTTTCTTTCTTCTGTATAATATAACCCTGAGAAACATTTTTCCGAGCCGATATCATTATGTTATTTGCACATTCTAAAGCTAAGATTAATTTTGGCATATGATCTATAACATTAAAATCTTTGCCAATTTTACAACCAAGAGAGAAACCATGCTTCAATAAAACGTGATCAATTAATGAAGAACCAAACTCCAGAAGTGGATTCAAAACCTTTTTAAGATTTTCTCCTGGTTTAGCATTTTCTAGGTGCTGTTGAATTTCTATCATTGGAGGCATAGTATCTTTATGAGCACGATCCAGGGGATATTTTTCTTTAACAGCAAACCTGATAATTGTACACTAGTAATATTTTCATATAAGAAATTAAATATTTATTTCTAATTATATCTTACCTGACTTTGTCTCCTTCTGTATGAGGTCTTAAAATATTTAAAATAGTCATCTCATAATCTGTAAGGACTATATTACCTCTATCATATAGTTCTAATATAATATGATATGCGGCTTCACCAGAACCAAATTGTAAATCTATTATTCTATCTACACCTATTTGTGTGAGACTTTCAAGTCGTTTATTTTTAAGATGTTTACGCATCTATAAATATTATAGACAGTATTAAATTTTAAATATTGTAGACAATAGTATATTTTAATACATATTTTAAAACAAATTGTTTATTATTTTATAATTGTTTCATTAAAATATTAATATTACATACCTTCATAGAAAATCCTGATGGAGCTACATTTTTTGGCCATTCAAAACCTGTTGTATGGATCCTATTACCAGATTCTAACAGAAGGACACATTTCTCTTCACTTCGTTGAAGACGGATGAGATAAGTACGGTGATCAATGTCATAAACTTGATTTACACGCATACCAATGAGCCTAAAGAGCAAAGTTATAATTTCAATTTGTTAAACTTAAATAAAATGAGTCATATTTCTAAAGGTTTATCAGAGCCTCCCATAATTGTTATAAGTTTGCACGGTGTACTCACCTTTGCAGCTCGGTTAAGGTGCAAACAATGTCGTAGGAATTAAATCTTGTCTTCATTTTTATGCCTATATAACCTATCGTTGAAAATATACAAATATTTCGTAAATATTATAATTTTGACATTTCACATAACTCTCACTATACAATAGGTACATGAGGTGAACTTCAAAATACTTACAACGAGAAACAAAATAATTAAAGATCAAAGGAAGTGCTCGAGTTTATTGAAAAACACCATATCATATGTCTAATTCCCAATGGTGCTAAATTTTTTTAAATCATTTCGTGAATGAACCGTTCTTAGATTTGAGATTGTTCATCAATCCAGGTTAAACCACAAACGAGGTACATACATATGAGAGTAGATTCGTGATTCAGAAATTCATGAGTGTGAATACAATTCGATCGGTACAGTCAGAATCTAAGACACAAAACCCTGTAAGGGTTTTGGTCTATTCTTAAGAATTCATAAGAACATCAATTACAGGGTGTCCCATAATTATATTAACACCTGGAAAGGGTTGATTCCTGAGGTCATTTGAAATAACTTTTTCCTTACCGAAAATGCAATCCGCAGCTTGGTTTATGAAAAACGGTAGCCAATGAGAGAGATCAGCTGGCACGAAGCGGCCGAGCCAATGAGCGGTCGAAGCCCAGTTCCACTGATTGGCTCGGCCGCCTCAGGCCAGCTGATCTCGCCTCTCATTGGTCAGTGCGGATTCAGCAGATCGGTATCTACTGTACAAATTCCGTTACATAAATAGTATTATCTTAATCACAGATTTGAAATGTATCAGAATCCCGCTCGATCCCGCCCGACTCTTTCCGACCTGTCCCGAATATCGGATTCCCGTACACGCCTGTCGATTTCGCATGGTATGTCCCTTTCAATTTATGTTTGCGGATTTTAAAAATACAAATGGTGATAATTGTAGAGAATGGAATGGTAAATATGGCTTTTAATTTTATATTACATTATAAAACTGAATTTNGAGCCAATGAGCGGTCGAAGCCCAGTTCCACTGATTGGCTCGGCCGCCTCAGGCCAGCTGATCTCGCCTCTCATTGGTCAGTGCGGATTCAGCAGATCGGTATCTACTGTACAAATTCCGTTACATAAATAGTATTATCTTAATCACAGATTTGAAATGTATCAGAATCCCGCTCGATCCCGCCCGACTCTTTCCGACCTGTCCCGAATATCGGATTCCCGTACACGCCTGTCGATTTCGCATGGTATGTCCCTTTCAATTTATGTTTGCGGATTTTAAAAATACAAATGGTGATAATTGTAGAGAATGGAATGGTAAATATGGCTTTTAATTTTATATTACATTATAAAACTGAATTTATAATTTCAATTATTTTTAACTATAGTTTGTAAGCTAATAAGACAATATAATAAGGAAAAGTTGAAAGAAGAGAATTTGTTGCGTTAGTATGTATACAAATTTAATCGCAATTCCAAATGATGTATAGAACTGAATATTCTGGTCACGTATATGAATATGGACACTTGTAACTGCTAATCGTTCTCATACGTCCGAAAAAACAAACTAAAGGACTACTTGCATAAATAGGAAAATTACATATGCAGATATATGCAGACGCATACTGCCGATGAGCGAATAGGCATCCGACATAACCGCAACTCAAGATTCTTGGCACCTAGGTTTAGGTTAGGTTTATTATATATATATTTTAATAGATTTTCTTACATATGCTCTCTTATTATATCACATCGCATTATCACTTGATGTATTTTATGACTAGACGCTCTAATAAATTTTTCTGTACAACGTGGTAACAAAATATAAGCTAGACAATTTAGTTTTTGAGGTCCACAATCTATTGGGAATCTGTATTATATTATATTTCACGTTGATAGTCCTACTTAGGCGCCACCTTATATATAAGCACCAGTATAACTAAACTTGTCAAATTTTTTGTTCTATATTATCGATATCATGAATTTTGACTGGGCCCGTGCACCGAGGCCGTAACGGATCGTCGCGCTGCAGATGTGCGAACGGACATTAGACAAACCAAATTAGAAATATTTTCGACCGGCAGGTGGCACACGCATATGTTTTTGTGATCACGGGTATCGGTAAAAATGTAACGGAAGAGAGAAAGCAAGCTAAAAGAGAAGGATAGCGACTAAACATGGTTGCCACATTTCATTCCTCGCCGCAATGTTGCCATGTCGTCAAAACTGTTTCACAAACTGAGTTTCATGAAACTGATTCCTGCTTCATGAGCCCGTTCTGCCGCGCGCTAGGTTACTAGACCAGGGGAAGGTGGCGTGCGGGGCAGTCGTGAGCGGCGCGGCAGTTGCAGCAAGAACGCTCGTCGA